CACAGTTGTAATGTTCTTTGCTTTAATTTCCAAGAATCACTGCAACTTTTTACTTGGTTTGAGAACCCAGTTCCGTGGGCTCAGTGGTAAAATTATTCAGTATTTAGCTTAGTGGGTGTCCAGAAAGGAAGTGAGCTTCAAAAACCTCTGCCCTTAGGGAGCACAGCAAACAACAAAGTGAATGGGGAGCCATTTCAGGTGCAAAGCTCATTAGCAATTCATCTGATGGAGGAAACGAGACGACCATTGCAAGAACCAGAAAAAAATCCCAATGAATATCTAGGGCAAACTAGGCCTTAGGTCAAAGTATGTTTTGCCTCCACGGGAGTCGAATCAATCTGAAATGGACACTTCTTTTCCCATCCCAGCCATCTTTTAAAGAAAGCGCAGAGGAATCCAAATCCCAGTCTTAATCATCATTCCACCCCTTATATTTCTGATATCTCTTTGCAAATTTGCCCCACTGAGGCCTCATAAATGTCCTAGCAGCGTTTCTTACACAGCATGAAGATCAAAGCAAATGAACCCAAGTAGCAGAAGCAAAGCCTAAGCCATCCACAAAAAAATCCATAAAGCTTGTGTATTAGTGAAAAAGGACAGTCTAACACCGTTGATCAATAGGAAGAAAAATGAACATCGGAAGCCTACAACATTACTTCCAAATCTCACAAACTGCGTTACCGTTTATATCTGCAGAAGCAAGTTCATCAAGAAAATTTACTTTCTGTTTGCTGATCTATTACATTCCAAAAGACCACCCCCTGCCCCAACACGCACACACACCATTTTTCACAGCCTTATCTCACCAGAGAAGCTAGGGCCCCTATCAAAATAAGGAAATAAAGTGGCTTGCCAAAACTCAAACACTATATTTTACCGCCACATTAACGAGAATAACACATCAAGATCCCGAATGCTAGTTAGGTTGTATGACTGAACAGCTTTAATCACGAAACTCACCAAGGCATTCAAAAGGGGCCAAGCCCAAACACAAAGTTTCAAAACAAAACCTCTCCCGGGTTGGGGGAGTAGCTGAGCTGGGAGCAAAAAGTACTACCCAGCAGCCACGTTCGGCTACTAAGAAAGATCTCAAACTTATCAAAAACAGCCACAACTGCAGCTCCTGTCACCCAGAAGCGTAAGTAGAGGAGAGCTCGAGACAGTGCCGAGAGCTGGCCTTTCTGGAGACAGCCAGGCTGAGCCCAGCTCAGACGAGGAAGTAACTGCCAGATAAAAAAGCCCCAACCAGCTCCAACTGCAATCTCCGTGCCTCCCATAACTGCCCACATTCCCGCCCCACTTGGGGCTCTGGGAGAAAAGGAACAGGGCGCAGGTCTCCTGGGAGAGGCTGGGGACCACAGGTCCGCGTCTTCGAGAGGGCAGCGGCAACACTGGCCGAACTCTGAGGCTCCCGGGAGCTCAAGATTCGAGAGTCTGCTCCGAAGGCGTGTTGGGGGGAACGCCGAGAAAGGGTCGCCCAGGAGGCGGGGCCTGCCGGCTGCAAGCAGCAGCTCCGGGCGCCCTGGCCGCCCCCCGGGGGTAACAGGGGCGCATACCCCGACGCGGAAGCCATGCCGGCAAGAGCTCGGGGTGCCGAGGTGCCGGCGGGGGGCGCTAAGGAGATGCGGGGGCACGGAAATGGGTCACCCCCATCCCACCGCCCCCTCACAAAGGCCCCCGGGGAGGCCGCCCGCAGGCCCCGCAGCCCCGGCCTCGAGTGCCCGACTCGGCCGCCACTCACCGCTAGGTCCTGGGGCACCGCCCCGCTCATGGCCCGCACCGTGCCGGCCCGCCAGGCTCGAGTGCGCAGCGCAGGCCCCGGATCTCCGCTCGCCGCCGCCGCCGCGGGGACTGAGGCCGAGGCTGAGGCCGCAGTGTCCGCGAACAGAAGCAGCAGTCGCTTGCCCACCGGGGAGGCCGCCGCGTCCGCCATCGCCGGGGCCGGCCTGACCCGCGCTCCCGCCCGCCGCCTCCCACCGCCTCCGCCGCCAAGCGCCCGATCCGCCCGCAAGGCCTCCCTCCGCACCACCCGCGGCCGCCGTTCCCCCCCACCCCCCCCAACAGCCACCACCAACCACCGGCGCCGCGCAGCGCCCCCCGTGGCCGGGAGCGGAGCCGCAGCCTGGGCCCCGCACAGCGCCCCCCGCGCTCTGGAGCGGGGCGGCAGCTCCTGGCCCCTCGCAGCGCTCCGCCCCAATCTCCCCGGGGCCTGCAGTGCCCCCTGCGGTCGGGAGGGGAATTGCAGGTTCGGCCGGGGTAGGGAAGTGGGCGGTTCCTTCAGCTTCCCCCTGGCACCATCCCTGGTCTCAATCTTCCTTTAGGGAGTTGTACATATGAGAGGGCTTTTTAGCTTGCTCTCCTCGGATGCCAAAGACATTTACGGGGTAAGAGGGTGAGGGGCAAGGTACCTAGAGAGTGGATGTTTTGAGCTATTTAGTATCTCCAATACCCCCACTGATTTCCTATCCTGAAAATATGAGCCACCCAACCTGCTGTCTTGCAGGAAATGTTCTCCCCATTGGTCCATGAGACACAATATCTTTCTTCTCATTGGCCCATAACAGCACCATTCAATACTGCCAGTATTTCTTAGGTTCCTTTCCAATTGGCCAATGTATTACTTCCATTGGAAGCATAACACCACTCTTTCCACTGACTGAAGGCCAACGTGCCCCCCCCCCCCAACATCTTGGTGTGTTTCCTAAAACCGACCTAACTTCTTCCCCTTCCTAGTCTACCAATGTTATTAAGTCTACGTGTTTCTCCATTCAACTCTTAGGGGAACTGGAAATAGACGAGCAGTAAAGGGGTTCTCTTAGTAGCACCCCATCTTACCATGGAATTAGTGGGGCTGGGGGCAAAGAAAATTCTGTAACTCTTATCTGAATGCATTTAATACAGGTGTGGGAGACTGGTAGCTCCTGATTAGAAAAGGAGCCTGTAGAGAAAGTGAGATGCTGAGATTTTTGGTTAGATTGTTACCCACAATAAGCAACAGGAAATTGCCTCAATCATGTAAAGTTGGCAATATCAGGGACTAGCAAGTTCCATGGTCTCATGGATGCGGAGACTGAGTATACACAAAACGAATACAAAAGATAAAGGGTCTAGTAATAACCCATGACTGTTGCTCTAAAAGTGACGTTTTTTCATTGATTTTCCCTATAGACAGGAAAGAGCAGTAGGTTCTGTGCTTACCCAGCTATCTCCTGTCCATAACCTTGTCTACACCCTTGACCTACTTTTCTTGTAACAAAAGGCTTAGGGAGAGGGGTAACCAACTATTGACTTTATACTTTTACTGAAGTATAAAACATATAGGAAAATCATTCTAGAACCAACCCTGTGGAGCGCCAAGGAAACATTCCTCCCTCCACTTCTTTTTAACTTCCATCTCCCACAGCCAACCTGAGGCCTGACTCAGAATGTTTTTCTGGGCTGAGAGCCACCTCTTAAAGCACATGGCCCATAAGCTGTAGTTGGTAGAAGGGGAACAAGGGTGAATCCATACAAGATCTATCTGCCTTGCAACTTTTCTATCAAAATTAACAGCTGAGATTTTCTCCCATACAGAGATTTAACTACTGCCCCAATGTCCAAGGCTGATTTCTCAGCAGAGAGACAGAAATGTACCTAAGTTCAGGGATGGGAAAGGCAAAAAGGGAAATGCATTCAACAAATGTGGCCGGCACTTTTCATGTGCCAGGAACTTCCCAAAGTGTTGGGGACACAATATTGAATAAAACAAAACTCTTGCCCTCATGGAGTTTACATTCTTTCCTATATTAACAAGACTTCAGGAATGAAAAATGAAATCACACTTGGCCTCACAGAAAATAAACAGCAGAAAAATCCAACAAAAATAAACTCGAAAGAAAGGGGGAGACAAAGTCATTTTAGATGTTCAAACTTTACCCCTGCTCAAGCAGTAGGTGAAATGAAACATCAGTTTTAAACAAAAACAAATGTAATTCTAAGCTTCTTTAACTACATGCCACTGCCCTCCACTTCCCAAAAGCCCTTCCTTTGTTTCCAGCGCAGATAACAACCCTCACTTTTTCTAGGGTGTATTTGCAGCCCTGCAAAGATTCCTGCTCCAGGTAGTCAAGTCAATCCCGTCCTCCTGAGCACATTTTATTGGTATTCAATGATGAGTGCCACCAATTTGAAGCAGGAAACCAGGACATAGGCTAAGCAACTTGACTCTTCTTGCTGCCTGGCAAATTAACACCACAACTGGTAAAGAAAGGCTAAGCCTTAGGGACAGAGGCTCCTGCCTGGATCTCTGAGCAACTACACTTCACCCACACACATTGGAAGAATGTCAACATAGAGAGAAGAAAGCGTGGAATAGAAAGGTCTAAAGAAAGAGTGAGCCACATAGCTTCTTTCCGCAAACCAACACTCCAAAAGGAAACATTAGGGAAAATACTGTCTTCTACAACAAAAGAGAAGCTTTGCAGCTAGGATAATTTTCCAAAAGCAGTATTTTTAGGATGGAAAAATTGCCTAGGTCTTTGGAATCTGAATTCTGATGACTAAATCTTTCTCTCTCCAGGATGTAACATGTGAAAACTTAAGAAAGATCCCTGGCCGTCTCCCACCCTGCCTTCTCCCTACTTCCCAAAGCCTACAAACCAATCTAGACAAGTTCCTGACTATACCATAAACCATTTCTCAGGGAGCTGGAATGCATTAATACTTGACTTCAACTTGCTGGAAGTGAGAGTGACAGCAGGCAGGAGGAGACAAGTATAAGTGCCAGGGAAAGAGAGACCAAACCAGACTGCCAAAAATAACCAAGGCCTTAGCAGAAGCCTGGGCCACAGTGTAACATCCTGCCATGGCCGGCAAAGGGCCTAGGGTCCAAATACTGCCCCTTTTTGAAAGGTTGACCGACATCTTAGAGGAAGGGGCTGAAAGAGTTAGGTGGCCTCCTACCCTGCTTCTTCCTTGTCTGTCTTTGTGGGGAAGGGAAGAAGACACTGTAGTACACAAGGTTGCTTGGGAAAATGGATTATTCTAATAAAACTTTATTTTTTCAAACACAGCCACAGAGGCAGAACCTCATGTTTAACACACACAGACTTATGGATTTTTTTTTAATATAAAACAAAGTTTACGAAAAATTTTTTTCCACTTTTTGTATTTGTAATCCCATTAGCACAGGGACTTTGGCAGCAGGTGGGAGTGAAGGGCAGCTGGGCTGCCACTGGGCAGTCACTGGGCACAGGAAGAGAGCACCAGCCTGGGGAGTGGCTTCACTCACACACACAGGGATACTCACCTACTGGCCAACCACACCACACACACAGCACAGATGCAGACATCTACCCAGTGTCAGCCACATGCCCTGGAGGTGTGCTCCACTCTGGGTAAGCCCAATATGTGAAAATTCAAATAGTCAAAACAGCTAAAGTGGAGGGAGGTTGCTGCTTTACAAAAAGAAGCAATCATAGGCTGCTTTTAAATGGTCAGCAGTCCAAATGCATTGAAAAACAGCATTTGGTTTACACAGAACTGTTGAAACAGATCTACTGTGTAACCACTTCTTGAAAAGTGTTCCAGGGCCACAGGTTCTTAGATTGGGAAGCAAGATGATAGTTCTGACTAGCTTAGTTTTCCAGACTGAAAGTAATGGAATTAAAATAATGATAACTGTAGACCTTCTCCCCTAAGGATGGTGCCCTGGGGCTTTGGGGAAACCAGGATGGAGGCAGAATCACTGCCTCACTTCTTCAGCTTAGGGCCTGCAGAAACTCACTGGCATTGCCAGTGACCTGTGGGAAGCTGGCACAGCCAATCTGCAGCAGAGAGCCCAGGGATGAGGATACCCCAGGAGGAAAAGAAGTTGGCACCAGGGAAATTATGGCCTGAAGAGGGAGAAGAGCCAGGGGAGGAATGAAACCATAGATGGGCAACTCCTGGGCTCACGGTTTCCCTGGATTCTCCAGAGGGCCTCTATGAAGCCCCTAGAGACCTGGTAGCCCAGTAGTAACTAGCCAGGAGATAGGGAGGAGCCTCTGAGGGCCAGAGGCTTAAGAAGACATGGCCACCTCCTCTCTGGAGTGGAGACGAGGAGGCTGAAGCCTCACTGATGCTCCTGACATGCAGGAGATCCAGAAAATGTCAGGTTCAATTCCATGAGGAAGAAAACACAAAGACCTTGGTCTTCTTCCCTTACAAGAGGAATTGGGTCTTAGGAAACCCTGGAAATTGAAGAGAAAAATGCCCTTCTTGCCATAAAGAAGAAGGGCAGGTCCAATTTGGTCATGTAGGGTCTAACCAAAGCTGGACAAAACCTCACAGGCTACTGTGGGGTCAGCTTCAGTATGTGTTTCCACTGGTGCCAGCCCTACCAAGGTACTTAAACCCATCACTGTGGCCACTGGGACCAGCTGTCCTGGCTCAAGTTGCGGGTGAGAAACAAAAAAAATTCAATCCAATGACAACCAAACTCCCAACTGCTTCTCACAGCCTTTGCTTTATACATCCTCAGCCAATCCCTCGGTGAGCCCCAACCTCCCTTTGGTCTCTCAGGGCCAATTAAAGGCAAATAAACACTTCCTGGCATGAGTGGAAGACAAGCAAACTATTAAATGCCAACCACCCCTTCCTCCTTCTCAAGCAGGTCGAAAAGGCTGGGCCTGGATCTTGTAAGAATTGGTTTCCTGCAGTCACCTTCCCAACAGCAGTGCTGGGGTGAGCTCACTCATGTCTGCTGGGGACTGAATGCCACTTCTGTTGCAGGTCTGCCTCAGTAGATGCTGCAGACCAATACAGGGCCTTCCTACCTAGTCTATGACCTAGAAGGGCAGAGGGTGAGGGAAAAGGGTCCCATCAGCAGAGGCAGAGACAGAGAGAGAGTCCCTCAACCCTGCGTCAGTTGCCCGTGTGCTGTGTGCAACTCTATTCAACAGGGCAAAAGAGGCAGGTGGTATATAGTCTAGACAATCTAATGAGAAAAAAAGGCCAGCTCAGAAAAAATATGGTGACACCCCCCACCTGCATTCCCCAATATACTAGATCGAGCTAGTGGGGAGGGGGTGGGGCTGAGGAAAAGATCATTAGCTGAAGTCACAGCACTTAAAACACCCTGCTGTGCCCCAAAATGAAATCCTTTGCAGAGTCGGTGATGCTATGGATTACAAGCCTGGTTCCAGAGCTATTTAGAAAAAAGGAAAACTTTGTGCCCTCCTCTTGACTCCTTGAGCAAACCCAACATCCTGTAAAAAACTCAAGATCCCGGGGGTATCATGATATTCTGCTGTTAAGGAGTAATTGCCTTCCTTCCCTAAGGCTACGCAAACACACCGTTCCACAAGTACACTCCCATGCACGCACACACTCTCACGCAGTTTCTCTGAGGAGGCTGACTCAACCCCCCACCCTGGCCAAATTCTAAGACACAAGTGCCCTTTGAAGCAAAGGGGCTAGTGAAATTCCCCGAGCTGGGGTCGGCAGACCCGTTCCTTCCCTGCCCATTGCTCTCTTCGTGGCAGGGATACTCACACTCAGGGCCGCCATGGGAAGGGTCTGCTCTGGGGCTGTCCCTCCCGCCACCAGCTCCGTTTATCTTGTCCCGGCCAGTCTCTCGGCATGGTCGAGCTTGCTGGAGCGAGAAGATTTCCGGCTGCCCTGAGTCGGAGCCCTCCACTCACCCCCATTCCCAGGCTTGGCCCCCAGCCTTGGGGCCTCGACACTTGTTAGTAGCCATGAGAGAGTCAGTCTGTGTGGCCCCAGGAAGTAGCCTCTCAGTTTTAGTTCTCCTCAATCAAATTCAAGTCCAGGTCCCCAAAGTCCTGCTGGCACAGTGTCCGCTTGCTCAGCGCCTGCCGACCCCACCGCACAGCCCCCTCCTCCTCTTCGCTTTCACTCAGCACCTGGGAGGAACCCCCAGTGGGACTGCAGGAAGCAGAGAGGGGTGGGGGGCTACAGGCCATGAACCACGGTGGAGAGATGCTGCTGCCTTCCCGGGCTGTTTCTTGGAGACAGAGACCTCCTGAGTATGGTTTCTGTCAAACAAACAAAGAAGACAGTTAAACCTGAAGGCAAGAATTCTAAGGCTTTAGGGTAAGGTTTGTAAACATTCTTTTTTTTTTTTGAGACGGAGTCTCGCTTTGTCACCCAGGCTGGAGTGCAGTGGCATGATCTTGGCTCACTGCAAGCTTCACCTCCTGGGTTCACGCCATTCTCCTGCCTCAGCCTCCTGAGTAGCTGGGACTACAGGCACCTGCCACCATGCCTGGCTAATTTTTTGTATTTTTAGTAGAGATGGGGTTTCACTGTGTTAACCAGGATGGTCTCGATCTCCTGACTTCAAGATCTGCCCGCCTCGGCCTCCCAAAGTGCTGGGATTACAGGTGTGATTTGTAAACTTTCTGACAAAATTTGGAGCCCATTATTTCCATTGGATTCAAGAATAGAAGCTCCATGAGGGCAGGAACATCATCTGCAGTGTTTCACTACTCTGTACTGCCAGTGCCTAGTCAGAATCAGTAAATATTTGCAGATGGGATGGACGACTCTATGAAAAAGTTAAATCAATTCTTAAAGAGGTTTGTAACCCAGTGGTCTAGAAAGAATAATATGAAAAAAGTGAGCAAGTGCATACATACAATAACTATACTCAAACCAGGAAGTCAAAAAACATTGGTCTAACAGATGAATACACTGTAGCAGCCCATCTTGCTTCAGCTCTCACAGAACCACTTTGAAGCAGTGACAGGCAAGTGGCAAAACCAGCTTTGGGCACAAGGAGTAGGTACTGATGATGAAATTTTTTGCAGCTTATGCATTCTTGGAAAGGAGGGAAAGTACCTCTTGCAAGACAATTTGGGATCCCTGTTGGAAGGTTTAACATGGGTCTCACCCCAGTTTCTCTAACTCCCAGGATTAAGGCATTTCACAGGATGGGGGGACTTTCAGTACTAAAACTGGGACAGTCCCAGGCAAGCTGGGATCGTAGGTCACCCTGAGAGCTAAAGGAGGTGCTGTTGGTGGCAGGGGGGAGATGGGAGTGGCAGGGTAATGAAGCTAGGGGTTAGCTCAAAAGCGGAAACAGAACAGAGTCCCCACACTCCCATCCAAGCTCCCCTAGTCTTGCTGGTCCCACCTGATTCATCTTGTCAAAGTCCAAGGAAGGCCGCAGACGCCGGGGGTCCTCCTCGTGGCGCCGCTTGACCCCAGTTTTGCGGGCATCCAGATCACAAGGCTGTGAGCGGCTTCGGGGAAGGTTGCGGAGACCTCGAGGTCGCCAGGGCAGCTCTGGTGAGGATGCAGGAGAGCTCCGGGCAGAGGGCAAGAAGCGGCTTGCCTGCGGGCCCAGGCTGGGTGACAAGGAGAAGCGGCGCTGAGGTGGGCAAGGTGACAAGGACTCAGCATCACTCTCCCAGGAGCCACTATGAGGGGAGGCAGCGCAGGGTCGAGAGGAATCTTGGGCCAGGGCCAGGCTGAAGAAAGGAGGGCTGTAGGGTCTGTGGGCTGGGACACATTGAGAAGAGGCACTGGGAGCTTGGAGGAACCTGAGGCTGGAGACCCGTTTCGGGGGGCTCTGGTGAGGCACCTGCGGCCCACCCCCTCCACCACTGCCCCGGTGCTTGATGGGAGTCCACAGCTTGGAGGGGGCGGGCCGCCACACCGGCTGCCAGCGAGACAGGTCCACGGGCACTGAGAGTGAGCGGCAGTGCCTCTTGGATGGAGGGGCAGGGGGCACAGGAAGCTTCTCTGGGTCTGGGGGCTCAGGTCTTAGGACTTGGGAGAGGGGCTGCTCCTTGGGGGAGCTTCCCCGACTGGGTGGTCTGAGGTGCAGGCTCAGGCCTGAGGGATGGTAGCTGAAGTTGAGGCTGTCCTGGAACTCAGCACAGGAACAGTGGGGCAGGCCCCTCCAGGAAGCACCTTCTGGAAGGCATTTGTAATAAAAATAATATTAATGATAGCTTACATTTTTTAAGAACTTACCACGTGCCACACAATGTATGGAGCATTTTATGTGAAAATTTCCAAAAACTTTATGAGGTAGGTAGTATCATTATCATTATCTCCATTTCACAGATAAGAGAAATTCAGTAACTTTCCCAAAATCACACAGCAATCAAAAGACCAAAGGAGGATTCAAATCCAGGTCTGTCTGATGCGAAGGCCAGGTTTTTAAACCACTATGCTCTGTTGCCTCCATTGTGACCAACTACCTGGAATCAAAAACATTTCATCTACTGCCTGCCATTCCCTCTGAAAGGTAAAAGAAGTCAAAAGAAACAAACACGATTGTGTGTGTCCTGCTCATCCCTCCCCCGCCCCTCCCCCACGCTTGCTCTGGATGCTGAAAAGCAGGCCTATGCTCTCCTTCCTTGGCCTTTCCTCTTCTCATGTGTCAACAGCACCAAGGAGTTAGTACTGCCAAAAAGTAAGAGGTAATCAGGCAGGTAAGAGATCACTTTTATTCCTAGGGAGGGCAAACAGGGTGGGGAAGGCCTTTGACAGTGAAACCTGGGCTTGGGAAACCCTAAGACTTTGTGCTGCTCATCTTCCTTTGTGTCTGGCCACCCACATATTCCGATTCCCTTCCCCTAGGCCTTCTCTTGAATCCAAACAGATGGAGGGACCAAGAGAAGGAAGGGAAAATGGACTAAAAGAAAACAATCCTCACTCACTGTATTCCAACCAAAATTGTGACTTTTGGGAGCTGGCTCAGTAAGGGACAAAGGGCCTAGTCCAAACTCCTCTGGAGTCCAAGCTGGCTGGAATTCTGCAGGAGCTGGATATTTGGGGCAAATGACAAGAAGTCAGACTTGACGGTGGCAAAATTCATACTGAGTGTATTTGGTCTACAGTTCTTCCCTCTACTAACCACTACAAGGGCAGAGACCATGAGTTCCTGCTCTATACTTATGACACAACACCTGGCTTTCAGCAAGTCTTTGATAAACAGGAGGAAGACACTGAATGAACATGTTTTTGCCAACTCACTTCCCTTGCTAGGTATCCTAGAAAAGAAAATGAGATGCAGAACAGCTGAGCAGCATGAGTTAAGGAGTTCTGATTGTCCACCAGTGATACCTCCATCTAAATGTCCCTACCATCAGGGGCCCTTTAACTGACTAATTAATAATCTACGAATTTATACCTCAGATGTATTTTCACATGTGAAAAAATGACATATGTACAAGGTTATTCACTACAGTTTCTTTTTTTTTTTTTTTTTTTTGAGATGGCGTCTTGCTCTGTCGCCCAGGCTAGAGTGCAGTGGGCACGATCTTGGCTCACTGCAACCTCTACCTCCTGGGTTCAGACAACTCTCCTGCCTCAGCCTCCCGAGTAGCTGGGAATACAGGCACCTGCCACCATGCCCGGCTAATTTTTGTATTTTTAGTAGAGACAGGGTTTCACCATGATGGCCAGGCTGGTCTCGAACCCCTGGCCTCAAGCTATCTGCCCACCTCGGCCTCCCAAAGTGCTGGGATTACAGGCATGAGTCACCACGTCTGGCCCACTACAGTTTTATGTACTGAAACAAGATTGGAAATAACCTAAATGTACATCAATAGAAGATTTGTGAAATAAGCCACTGTACATCTATGCAGTGTAATAATATGCAGCTATATATAACAAGGGAATGCTCAGCATTCTGATAGGGAAAGATCTCCTAGCTATATTAAAGTTTTTTTTTTTTTCTTTTTTTGAGATGGAGTCTTTCTTTGTTGCCCAGGCTGGAGTACAGTGGCGTAATCTGCGCTTACCACAACCTCCGCCTCCCAGGTTCAAGTGATTCTTCTGCCTTGCCCTCCCGAGTAGTTGGGATTACAGATGTGCACTACCATGCCAGGCTAATTTTTGTATTTTTAGTAGAGGCAGGGTTTCATTGTGTTGGCCAGGCTGGTCTCGAACTCCTAATCTCATGATCAGCCCACCTCGGCCTCCCAAAGTGCTAGGATTACAAGCATGAGCCACTGTGCCCAGCGATTTTTTTTTTTTTTTGAGATGGAGTTTCGCTCTTGTTGCCCAGGCTGGAGTGCAATGGCGCCATCTTGGCTCACCGCAACCTCTGCCTCCTGGGTTCAAGCGATTCTCCTGCCTCAGCCTCCCTAGTAGCTGGAATTACAGGCATGAGCCACCACACCCAGCTGATTTTATATTTTTAGTAGAGATGGGGTTTCTCCATGTTGGTCAGGCTGGTCTCAAACTCCTGACCTCAGGTGATCTCCCTGCCTCAGCCTCCCAAAGTGCTGGGATTATAGGCGTTAGCCACCAGGCCCGGTCCTATTTTTTTTTTTAGGGTACAAAATAATATATAGTATGCAACCTTTTGTGTTAAAAATGTGGAAATAAAATAGGTGCAGCAAACCACCACGGCACATGTATACCTATGTAACAAACCTGCAGGTTCTGCACATGTAGCCCAGAACTTAAAAAAAAAAAAAAAAAAAAAGGAAATAAATATATACATTTGCTTCTTTTTATATACAGAAATTCTAGTCACATATACTGTGTAAGAAACTAATACTTTTAGGGAGGTGGTAGAAGCTGAGTAGATAGGGAACAGGAGAGTAATACTTTTCTCAGCATAACCTTTTTGTTGTTATTTTTTAAATTTTGAACCATGTGAATGTATTACCTATTCAAAAAAATAGGTTATACAAGTCTCCACAAAGCTAGAATAAGAGCAAACCAATCAGATAACTTTCATGCTATAACATGAAAGACAACTGCCAATCTCAGAAGTTGACCCTGGCAAGAAAGTTCTAGAGATATGCTTGCTAGCCCTGTTCACTGGAAACCAATGATAGAAATGTGTGGAGAGAGGAATGGGTACACACACATACACAAACACACACGATGCCTTACCAGACACAAGCTGAAAAGGGTTCCCACAGTTGGAGATGTCTGCATGATCAGGCAAAGGCTAAGAAAGAGAGAATATCCATCATGATTTGGATTCAGGACACACTGACAGATTTCTAGGAAGCCCTCTTCAGTTCTCCTCTGCAATTCATGAGCTATAGGGATGTTAGGGACATTAAGTGTTCTTCCTCTCATCTTCCCAAAGTTAGTAAGTCAAACAATCCACATCTTCCAACATCTCAAACCCTTCTCCACCCAAGTTTTGTTGTCCCTTCTCTATAGGTGGAAAAATCCCTGCCCCCTTCCTTTTGGGCTGGGTTTTGAGCCATTAGTGGGCTCTTCAGGTTAAGAACCATGATTCATACAGCACAGGACAAGAGTAAAGTGGTAGCAACAATCAGCCTCAGAAAAAAGGGGGAGGGGGTCGTGGAGAAGCAGGAAGACTGGTCTTTTACCAGACTGATGCTGAAGCGTGTGCATTTCAGCTCATCCAGAGTCTGCTTCTGTAGCTGCTCAGTGATCAGGGTTATCATGATTCTCCCCAGGATTTGACTTGCACACTTTGGAGCAAATGATGGATGTCTTCCCTGTTGTTCTTCCAGACCTCACTCGTAAGCCGTCTTCTGCCACTGCAGCACCATTCTAGCACCATTGGGACTTCCCTCTCCAGTCATGCCTGCTGAGTCTGCCAATTAGAGGGACCAGCCCCAAGTGATATTAGAGATGCACCTGGTCCAGAGATGGAAAATGCATGGCACACATACCACAGCACCCCTAAGCCAGGCCTCTGGCAGACATCAATTGATCACAGCTCTTTCTAGCTAAGCCTAAACACAGCTTCAGAAATTATGAACTGGCAGTCCAGACAAGAAATAAAATAGAGTTGGCAATCAAGTTGAAACTTATTTGCTACCCTTAACCTGGTTCATGCTCTGTTGTTTCTAACTGGAATACCAGCAGCACTTAGAAAACAGCTGCTCACGTGAGAGAGAGGGATGCCCAAATGATTATTTCCCTCGAGATCAGCCCAGTATTTTATCTTCTAGTCAGAAGTGAAAAGAGGTACCCTTCTCCTAAACTACAGAAATAATAATAAGAGAACAAGGAAGAACAGTGGTTGTAGGCAAGACTTTCTGCTTCAGACCTGAGTACATAGGATTTTATGTCCTCCCACAGCCTAAACATTTGATATATTATTGTTTTCCCATAGATACGGTATTTGTTTTCTTATCAAATGGGAAGAGGATAAGGAAATGGTCAGGGTAATTCCAATACATTTCAACTCTACAGACGTTATAAACAATTCCATGACTTTATTCAACTAAGTTTCTAGCCTGATCTGATGCAAAGTCCATGGACACAGTTAACCAAGATTCTTTCTCATGGTCAACTTCTGATAGAAGCAAACTAACTGTATCAGAGAACAGGCTTCAAGCCCACACAATTACCTGAGGGGCCTTGCTCAAGGGAAAAGGGGAGGTTAAGCCAGTGTCTTGATTTTATTCTGTCTATTCCCGGAAATGACCAGCAAGCTGACAGCTTACCAGACAATGTGTGTAGCATTAGCTAGTCAAGAGAACAAATCATCAAGAAATCTAATTATTAGTCCAATTTGCTAAGAGTTTTGACAAATCATTTAATACTCGCTGGCCTCAGTTTACCCATATGTAAAGTGGGCAGAATAATCTTAACCCGTCACAGGAACAATATAACACATTAAAATGTACAAAATGTACCATCTGGCCTATAAAAATCAGGAGTCCACATACACTACCATTTCTTGTTCCCGTTTGTGAATCTTCAAGGCCTCAGAATGTCAGAAGTAATGAAATCAATAAGATGAAGAAGGCAATAGGGTCTATCTCTCTGGCTGAATACCATCCTCCCTCACCTGTACACTAAGAAAAGCCCAAGAGGGCTGTTCCTTCTGTGACCTTGGGGGCAGATCACTCCACAAAGAAGAGGAAATTATCTCTACCCCACTCACACCTCAGAAGGAGGCCACAAGGAAGAGCAAAGAGATAAACCTGTATGTATTTGGAGTTCTTTGGAAGAAAGGTGCAAGAGAAGTCAATCATCGTTATAGTTAACTATCATTTTCATGCATAATTATTACCACCCTGAACAAAATTCTAGCTTCCGGGGAGCTCTCTTCAGCTGCTTCCCCTATATTCTTACGGGAGAAGCTAAAGCTTCTATTACTTCTGCTCCTGGTTTCTTAACTCTGCTGCCCTCAAAGATCAACCAGAGAGGGAACCTAAGTGCAGGATTTTACCCCCGAGACCCCAGGCCTCAGGCTAACCAGCTATGAGGAGCAGGGAGTGAAGCAAACTCTCTAGCTTTTCATGAGGCATTTGGACAAACAGCAAACTCCCAGCCATCTCTAGGATAAAGTCAAGAGAGTGAATTTGTGTTTTTCTGCATTTTAATTGTTGGGATGTGGCCACACACAGCGGTAATTGGAACAATGCAACTACCACCAGGCAACTGATACTCTCAGCCTGAGTTTCCTAAAACAGGCCAGGCTGAGAAGGGGAACAGAACGGAAGCCATAAGGAATCAAACCAGGACACAAAAGAAGGCAAACCAGCTCCGCGAGGGGCCTCCTCTTTCTCAAGCAGGCATTGAAAAAAGTGTAAGAAGCCCTCTCTTGCCGCCTTCCTTCCCCTTCCATTTTGTGTATCTGAAGGGTAGAGACAGCCCTGAACAGTCACTAAACAAGTTAAAACTTCTCAGTTTAACAACTGGCACGGGGCTCAGCCCTTCAGAGAGCAGCAGGCCGCTAGGCCCTCTCAGCAACCCCACCAGGCCTAACTCTCAGTTCAGGCTTTCCCTCCACCAGCAGCCCCCAAAAATAAAGATCAGACCCCCACCCCATCTCCTATTGGACGGCAGTAACCCTTGACACTCCTGTTTCAGGGATGCTGAGGTTGTGCTGAACCTAGACAAGGTAGGATCAGGTCAGGCCAACAGGGAGGAGAGTCACAAATCCCTTGGGGACCTTCCCCCCAGGTCCCGGCCCCACACCTCTTGGGGAGACTGAAGGAAAACATGAGGAAGGCAGGGAGGTGCATGAACAGGTAGGTGGAGACCTGCTTGCTCTTCCTCCATATGGTTCTGCTGGGGAAAGGGGTGACAAGTGGGGAACACCCCTCCCCCCACCCCCATGAAGAAGCAAAAGGCTAGGCCCCTCCAATCTTCAACCTCTCCCTCTGTTGCCCTGCCTGTCCCCGCGGGGTGGGGCATGGGGCGTCCGCTGGTCCCCGGAGCGGGGGGGCGCCAGGGCTCGCTCAGGGGGGGCTGTCGTTCGCCTCTTCCCACTAGGTTCCATCATCTGGCCGCGGGAAGCGAACTCAGGACGCAAGGGATGGGGAGGGTATGGGACTTAGCACTTCGCCACCCCCTCCCCCACCGGGTCCCGTGCTCTCCCCGCGGAGGCGGCCTGCGAGGCCCGGCCGCGCGGGCGGTCGGGCTGGGGGAGGGGAAAGAGGGAAGGAGGGAGGGACAGTTGAGGTGCCCGCCCCGAGGCCCCAGCGCCACCTGCCCTCCGCCACCTACCGCAGCTCCTCCAGCTCCCAGGGCCGCGGCCGGAGCAGCTCTGAGCGCTCCGTTCGCCCCACGGTGTCCTTAAAAGGCGCTGGCGCGAACCAACGAGTCCCTGAGGAGAGTAGTGGGACAGCTCCGGCTCGCAAAATCCCCCCGAGCCACCCACGGAGAGGGCAGCTTCGTGTCGTGTCTCTCTCAAAGTCTCTCTCGGACAGCGCTGTCGGGAACGAGTCTGGCGCTTTGATTTAGGGATGGGGGTGGTTTCCTCACTAACGAGTCACCCCCTCCAAAATATCGCAGAAAGTGGACGGTCCCAGTTGGAGGTACATCTTGAAACCCGCGGGGGAGGCCATGTCGGGAGAAGGTAAACAAAGGCATCGCCCCTGCCCTCCCTCCCTCCATCGGCCCAACTGCAGCCTCCCACTCGGTTCGGCCCGCGTCATGCAATTAGCCACAGTGCCCCTCACCTGCTCGGCTGCCCCGCCCTCCACGACCACCTCTTCGAAGGAAGCCCCCTTCCCCCAGCAAAGGACCCGTCCGCGGCGTGAAGGCTGCTGGGAAGTGTGGTCCAAGCGCCGATTAGGGCCTGCTCGGAGTCCCAGAAGCCGCTCTTGCAGCTGCCAGATCGGCCTGAACCTTAAAAACCCAGAACTTATAATGGTTGCGGGGACGTTTCCACTTGGTTCTGTAATTTGCACTCACCCAGAACACTTTGTAAAGCTCAGGATAGCCCAGGACTGTTCACTCCCTCTCCTCTCTCTCCGCCCCCCCTCAGCAGGATGAGGTAATGGGATTGTGATTATGACATCATAGGCGGTTCAGTTGCTTGCGTTTGTTGGGGGAGGTGCGGGGAGGTGGGGAGAAGTACGGTGGTTACACTTTCCTTAAACAGAAAGGGAAGGAGGAAACAGCCAGATGGGGAAAAGATGTTGACGGTGCTATATTTCCACTTCAGGAAGACGAAACCACCTTTTATTAAGTCTCCACCACTACCACCACCTCCCACATGAGCCAAAGTTTAAGTCTTTTTTAAAGAGACGAATGTAGACGTTAGTGTGTGAAGAGGTTGGGTTGATGGTTTCTGGCTCTTATGTAAATTCGAGTCTCAGCTAGCATCACAGATGGTTTAGGGAGACAAGCAAAAAAGTGGATAAAGGAGAGGCTTTAAACTGCGTTCGTGTTGTGATTTCTTTGTAATACAAAGTTTCTATTTCTTTTTTTTAATTGATTGGAAAGTAGCAGTATGCAAGTAATCTTCACTATTACACTTAGCAGCAAGTCCTCTGAAAGACGTCTGTTTTCTGTAAATATTTTGTGCCTTACTCAAGACTGGGACAGGTAAATAGCTGTGATCAGCTGGAAAGTAGAGCCAGTGGCAGGGATCTTCCTCACTGAGCCAGGGAGGGGAGGAGGCAGGAGTCACCAAGTCTGCAAACTGAAAAAGAAAAGTGAGGTACAGTACTAACTGAGAAAATAGGGGTGGAGAGATTTACCTTGTACTGCCTATTTCCCCTTGGCAAAAGGAGCAGAGTTGGGGCCATGAAGTATGGGACACATGGTTTCCAAGAATTGCTCTTATGTGCCAGACACCATGCCTTTTTTTTTTTTTTTTTTTTTTTTTTTTTTTAGAAACGGGGTTTTGCTGTTGCTCAGGCTGGGGTGCAGTAAGCGATCATAGCTCACTGCAGCCTTGAACTTCTGGGCTCAAGCAATCCTTCCCATCTCAGTCTCCTGAGTAGCTAGAACTACAGGAGTGTGCCACCATGTCCAGCATATTTATTTGTATTTTTGTAGAGAGAGGCGTCTTGCTATGTTGCCCAGGGTAGTCTCAAACGCCTGGCCTCAGTCTTCCCACCTTGGCCTCACAAAGTGCTGGGATTGGCATGGTGTCTCACACCTGTAATCCTAGCACTTTGGGAGGCTGAGGCAGGCGGATCAACTGAGGTCAGGAGTTTGAGACCAGCCTGGTCAACATGGTGAAACCCCATCTCTACTAAAAAATACAAAAATTAGCTGGGCATTGTGGCGCCCACCTGTAATCCCAGCTACTCAGGAGGCTGAGGCAGGAGAATCGCTTGAACCAGGGAGGCAGAGATTGCAGTGAGCCGAGATTGTGCCACTGCACCCCAGCCTGGGCAACAGAATGAGACTCTATCTCAAAAACAAACAAACAAAAAACAAAGTGCTGGGATTCCAGGTGTGAACCACCACACTTGGACTACATACTTTGATATATATTCTCATTTTTTCTTACAATCATCACATGAAACAAAACCTTCTCTTTGACAAATGAAACAGCCCAAGAGGTTAAGTGACTGCCCACATGGTAGGCAAAGGTACTATCAAAAAGCAGTCTAAAAGCCCTTGCTTTTCATCACTAAGCTGTTCCCCTTTTTATTATTAACCAAGCTTACTAGTTAAACGGTTGAGTTAAAAGTAGGCATTGGCTCATTTGCAAAACATTGAAAGAAACTGAGACCCAAAACAAAACAAAAACAACAACAAAAAACCCTGCAAGTCAAGTTTCAGGCCTCATTTCAAAGGAAGGTTACATCCCCTTTCATCATCTATGAAATCATCTATGTTGCCTCCCAGTGCAGCCTAACAGTCCTACCCATAATTAAATCTCCTTATTCTACTTTTAGTTCCCAAAGATTTTTTTACTCATGTCCTGCTCTTTTTCCCTGCTGCCCCCTTTTTATTCTTTTGTTCTTGAGCCACTGCTTTGAACCGCATCTTAATTGTGCCCTCATGGGCCAAACCCCATCTGTAACCCTGCTTCAGTGGGTTTCAGTAAAGGATACTCTCCATCCATATTCTGAAGGTTCCAGGGCCTGGAGCCAGTGATCCAGGAGGTCATCCAAAGGAGTGGAATCCATTGGCTCTAAGAGACTCTCCATTCCCTGCCTAGGAAGGAACAGCCAAGTGGGAGGAACATGCACTCGATTCAGACCTTCCCTTTTCACCCAGTGAAAGCTAAACCTCTGCAAAGTGGGGAGAAGTAGGGCTAAGCCTACCAGTCATAAAAAGAACCAGGAATAGAAAACACATCCCTCAGCCCTTCTGCCCTGCAGAGGCTGGCGGGGAGGGTCCCAGGAATGTAGGGCTCTTCTCCACTGCCTGATCTGGGCATCCCAGGAGTGATGGCTGAAACTCCCGTTCTTGTTTGGTGTTTCAGGGTGAAGCCCAGGCTGCCGCAGTGCCCTGGCCACAACAAGTATGGGTGAGACTGAGGTCAAGGTGAAGGAACACAGCTCACTGCTTATCACAGTGAATCAGGAGCCTAGATAGGGATTCCCCAAGGATGACATAGGATCAATGCCCTCAATCCAACAGAAAAAGTAAATCTTCAAATCAGATTAAACACCAAACTTCCCACCTCCCTAATATTCTTTCTTCTGGGAAGGATAACTTAGATATATTCCAACACCCTCAGAAATCAAGGTATAAAAGACAATATTTGACTTCCCTTTAAAATAATTCTACCATTTCACAGTTTGTATGCATGCATGTAAACTTACATGTAATTAGCTAAGTATGTTGCAATTAGCTAAGCCAGCTGGAACCATGAGGAGATAGTAAAAATGTTTGGTAGGAAAACAATCTCATTAGGAAAAGTAGAGCTTTTAAGAGTTTTGTGGGCCGGGCGCGGTGGCTCAAGCCTGTAATCCCAGCACTTTGGGAGGCCGAGACGGGCGGATCACGAGGTCAGGAGATCGAGACCATCCTGGCTAACCCGGTGAAACCCCGTCTCTACTAAAAAAATACAAAAAAAAAAAAGAGAGAGAGTTTTGTTGGCCAGGCATGGTGGCTTACGCCTATAACCCCAGCACTTTGGGAGGCCGAGGCGGGTGGATGACCTGAGGTCAGGCGTTTGAGACGAGCCTGGCCAACATGGTGAAACCCCGTCTCAACTAAAAATACAAAAATCAGCTGGGCGTGGTGGTGGGCACCTGTAGTCCCAGCTATTTGGGAGGCTGAGGCAGGAGAATCGCTTGAACCCGGGAGGCAGAGGTTGCAGTGGGCCAAGATCGCGCCTCTGTACTCCAGCCTGGGAGAGAGTGAGACTCTGTCTCAAAAAAAAAAAAAAAAAAAAAAAAAAAAAAAAAAACCCCCCCCCCCAAAAAAAAAAAAACACTCTTAAGGGCTAGGTATATAACTTCTATTTAAGAAAAGTCTCAGAAACTTATTTTTGGGCTAGATTTTTACAGAATTTGTTTTAGGAATGCTGCAACTTTGTCAGAGTGCTCAGATTCTAGTATATTTCTATCACCTGACATTGAACTAAAGCTACTTGGTTGACATCTTTGTTGTGACCACCCACAACTGCACTTACTTGAGGACCTGGTGCAGAAAGCACTGGTAGCCAGGTGTGCACTTGCCATAATCTATCTGCTTTTGCCACCACTGGAGAATAACTTTGTCTGTCTCTACTTCCCACCTGCAGGGAAGTATACAGTTTCCCACAAAGTGTGATTATACTGTAGTCGTCAAAGCAGATAACAACTCATCCCACACTCCCTTAATCCCCAGCCTGATTTTCAAACTCACCTGGCATAGCAAGGCTCTGTGCTAACTCCCACACTCACTGTCTGTATCCTAGAGGACCAAGACTCCTTACACATCTCCTTTCTGGGGAAGCAGTTTCTACAGATGCAAAGGGTATTAGGATAAAAACCAGCTGGCTACACTGTGCCTCTCAGTCACTACCACCACCAAAATCCTGACATCAGACACAAGTTGCATTTTGACTTTTGTTTCTCAAAGCTTGATCTGTAAGCTGTCTGCATGGGTAGCACCTGGGGGCCTTGATAATGACCCCACTTTAGACCTATTGAATTATCGTTTCTGGAGCCTGCATGTTAAAGAGCTTCCAAGGTTATTTTGAACATTTTTATTATGGAAATTTTCAAATATACACTGAAGTAAGGAGTATGGGGTAATACCTTACCGCTCAAAGTATGGTCCTAGGACCAGCTACCTCACCATCAGCTGGGGGCTTGTTAGACGGGCAGAATCTCTGGCCGCAACCACAACCCAGACCTCCCGAATCAGAATCTGCATTTAACAGGTCCTCAGGTGGTTAGTGTGCAAATTAAACGTTGAGATGCACAGATATGATGGACCTTCCTGCCCCCTATCACTCAACACTCAGGGTCAATCTTGTATCATCAATACCCTCCCCCAGCACAGGATTATTTAAAAGCAAATCCCTAACATTAGGAATGTCTTTTTGTTTGTTTCACTCTAATGCCCAGGCTGGAGTGCAGTGGCGCAACCACCGTCTCCCGGGTTCAAGCAATTAATCATGCCTCAGCCTCCCAAGTAGCTGGGATTACAGGTGTGTGCCACCACACCCAGCTAATTTTTGTATTTTTAGTAGAGACGGGGCTTTCATCATGTTGGCCAGGCTGGTTTTGAACCCCTGACCTCATGTAATCCGCCCACCTCGGCCTCCCAAAGTGCTGGGATTACAGGTGTGAGCCACCGCGCCCGGCCAGTAATTTCTAAATATCACCTCGTCAATGTTCAAATTTCCATGAATAACCAATCTTTGAGGTCCTCTGGATTGTGATAAGCATTATACCAAGATAATTTAATTCCTCCACTTTCCCTGCAACGGAATTTCTTTTTACCCACGTAAACTAGCGTCTCTAAAAGAAACGCCAAACAAAGAAAGCTCTTGAAAGGGGCTAATGCCTCTCAGCATAAACACACACACCTGTCTCCCCCCAATACCTGCCACACCGGCAGCAAACGCTCCATCTCCCGTGGAAGGCCAGCAAAACTCAGAAGAAAGCGTCCGCGAAAACGGCACGAGAAAGAAGCAAGGAAAATGAAACGCTTACAACACCCTCCACCCAAAAGAATCTCTCCTAGTATTATCCTAGCGAATGGTCATCACTAGTAAGGTGCGATTTAAATCTCCCGGGGTTCGTGGGGCTGAGGGAAAGAAGAAAACAGAAAGGGTGTGGCAATTGGTGAGAGGGAGAGCCAATGATGCGGCAGGCTCCCCGTGAGGCGGAGCTTACCCCGCAGCCTGCCTAACGCTGGTGGGCCAATCACTATCCTGCTCTGGCTATGGGGCGGGGCAAGTCTTACCACTTCCAGAGCAAGCACACGCCGGGTAATGTGCGAGCCCAACGATAGGCCGTGAGGGTCTGG